TCGGAAGGCTGAGGCGGAAGGATCGCCGGAGACCAGCAGGTCTAGGCTGCAGTGGCCGGGAGCGGCCACTGCACTCCAGTCTGGGTGACTGTGAGACTCCAACTCAAAAAAAAAAAAAAAGATTCAACAAAGAAAGAGAACTAACTACAAGCCAATATCCTTGATGAACACAGATGCTAAAATTCTCAACAAGAGTCTAGCAAACCAGATCCAACAACACGTCTCAAAAATCATCCACCATGATCAAGTGGACTTCATTTCTGGGATGCAGGGCTGGTTCAACATCCACAAGACCATAAATGCAATTAAGTACATCAAAAGGTGTAAAAACAAAAACCACATGGTTATATCATTAGACACAGAAAAAACTTTTGATAAAATCCAGCACCCCTTCTTGATAAAAACGCTTGAACATCTAGGTATAGATGGAACATACTTCAAAATAGTAAGAGCCATTTATGAGAGACCAACAGCCAACATACTGCTAAACAGACATAAATTGGAACCATTTCCCCTGAAAACCAGAACAACACAAGGATGCCCACTCTTATCCCTCCTGTTCAGCATAGTATTGGAAGTCCTAGTTAGAGCAATCAGACAAGAGAAGGAAATCAGGGGTATCCAAATAGGAAATGTTAAGTTATCTCTCTTTGCAGATGACATGATTCTACATCTTGAAAACCCAAGAGAATCTGTCAAAATCTGCTTCCACTGATAAAGGACTTTGACAATGCCTCTGGGTATAGAACAAATGCGCAAAAGACAGTCGCATTCCTATACACCAACAATAAACAAACAGAAACCCACATAAAAAGCACATTCCCTTTCACAATAGCTGTGCGTGCACACACACACACAAAAGAAATACCTTCACATCTTCCTAATCAGAGAAGTGAAACACCTTTACAACGAAAACTGCTCAAAGAAATTAATAATGACACAAACAAATGGAAAAATATTCCATGCTTATGGATTGGAAGAATCAACATTGTTAAGGTGTTCATCCTACCCAAGGCAATCTACAGATTTAACACAATACCCATTAAATCACCAGCAGCATTCTTCTCAGATCTGGAAACAACATTACAGGAATTCATATGGAAACATAAACGGCCATAGATAGTCAAAACAATGCTCAGCAGAAACAATAATAAAAACAAAACAAAACAAAGCGAGAGGTATCACACTCCCAGACTTAAAACTTTGTTATAAAGCTCAATAATCAAAACATCCTGGTATTGGTACAAGAACAGGCAAACAGACCAATGGAATAGGATAGAAATTACAGAAGCAAAACCTCAATTTTTTAAAAATTAATTTTTATTATAAAGATGTGGGGTACAATTCAGGGATAGATATGCAAACATTGATCATGCAGCGACCCTTGATGATGAGGTATGCCTCTCCCTCCCTTAGCAGTTTCCCTCAACTGCCAATCCCACTCCCCACCCGACAGTTTCCCATTACCGCCAGTCACTTTCTTATAGCATTATAATTGTTCAAGTTCCTCTTATGAGTGAGAACATATTGAACTCTGTTTTTTGTTTCTGTGATCAATCACTGAGAATGATTGACTCCAAATCCATCCAGGTTGCTGCAAAGTCCATATATTTGTCCTT